AGTAGATCAATAAGTACCACCTTGGCGGGAAGGTAAAAGGCTGCCCCATGCAGATATGTAGACATGCCGGCAACATAATAAGAGATGGCTATGGACAACAGGCTCCTCGACATGGAAAAAATGGAACAAGAGCACCTCCCCATGGACGGAGTTGAGTATTGCCTCCAGATGCCGGAGATGGAAAAAACCGAAGGCCTTTAGCTTTGTCTGTGTTGTATGTCATTGTTTATTGTGTGTAAAAGGCATTGAATGTTTGTCTCATATGTGTATTATGATTCGCTCTGAGTCTTCTCTGGGGCAGTGTTTCTCAACCTGGGGGTTAGGACCCCTGGGGAGGGTCGTGAGGGTGGTTTCAGAGGGGTCACCAAAGACCATCAGAAAACACATATTTCCGATGGTCTTAGGAATCCCTTTGGCAGAGAAGGCGGAAGATCTCTCCGCCGGTCGTTCTCTTCCTTTTTGGAAACAGACTGCGAATCCTCCCACCAAAAGCCATCCTCCTGCTGTGATTGGTTGGCCTCTCATCCAAAGGCAGGGCTGTTTCTGAGACTGCAAGCAAGGAGGGGAGAGCAGGCGTGCCAAATTTGGTCCAGATCTATAGTCGTTTTTGTTTACGGTGCTCTCCGGATGCAGGTGAACTACATCTCCCCTAAATCACTGTCAATTCCTCCCAAATCCCTCCAGTATTTTCTGTTTGTGTGGGAAGTTTGGCCCAATCCTATCATTGGTGGGGTTCAAGGGGCTAGTTGATTGTAGGTGGACTATAAATCCCAGCAACTACAACTCCCAAATGTCTAGATCTATTTTCCCCAAAATATCAAGGGAGAGTGTGCGAAGTTGGAGAGAGGCTCATGCCGGCGGGTCCCTTTAAGGAAGAGGGGTTCTGTGTGGGAAGTTTGGCCCAATTCTATCATTGGTGGGGTTCAGAATGCTCTTTGATTGTAAGTGAACTATAAATCCCAGCAACTACAACTCCCAAATGTCAAGGTCTATATCCCCCAAATCCCACTAGTGTTCACATTTGGGCATATGGATTATCTCTGTCCAGATCCATCATTGTTTGTGTCCACAGTGCTCTCTGGATGTAGGTGAACTACAACTCCCAAACTCAAGGTCAATACCCACCAAACCCTTCTAGTGTTTTCTGTTGGTCATGGGAGTTCTGTGTGCCAAGTTTGGTTCAATTCCATCATTGGTGGAGTTCAGAATGCTCTTTGATTGTAGGTGAACTATAAATCCCAGCAACTACAACTCCCAAATGTCAAGATTCTATTTCCCCAAACTCCACCAGTGTTCACATTTGGGCATATTGAGTATTCGTGCCAAGTTTGGTCCAGATCCATCATTGTTTGAGCCCACAATGCTCTCTGGATGTAAGTGAACTACAACTCCCAAACTCAAGGTCAATGCCCACCAAACCCTTCCAGTATTTTCTGTTGGTCATGTGAGTTCTGTGTACCAAGTTTGGTTCAATTTCATTATTGGTGGAATTCAGAATGGTCTTTGATGGTTGGTGAACTATAAATCCCAGCAACTACAACTCCCAAACGACAAAATCAATCCCCTCCCAACCTACCAGTATACATCCTGCATATCTATGATTCCACTATATGATTCCTATAGTCCACTAGCAGAACTTGACGGTGAATTCTATTTTTGACCCAAAGCACACTCCATCTCTCTCTTCAAGAAGTACTAAATGAGCGAGGAACGATTCAAACATTCACAATTCTTGCCAAGGATTGATTTCTCAAGGCCCTGCTTGAAGTCTCTCCAGCTCAAGGGAGAGCCGAAGTCTTCAGCGGAACGTATCTTGGGACACCGAGTGGGGGGAAAAGTAGGTCAACTTGAAAAGACACCGAATTGGTTTGGAAGGGGATGAGAGAGCGACATTTGGACCTAGCAGCAAGAGCAAAATCAAACATTCCCATTTGCAGCGTCCACATTCTCAGTCTGCCAACATGCAGAGGCAGTGAGTGACTCCCATGACATGAGGGATGGTGAATCCGTTCTGGGTTTTAGTACGAACTTTAAAAGGAGCTATACAACATACTGGCGTCATCCTTCAAATATCTCCTCTCAAAAAACAAAACACCATACTGCCCACCACACAAGTGAAGGCTTTCATCCTAGATTTTATTTATTTCCTCCACCACAGACATCCCAGTGTTTTTTACTCTCTCCATTGGTGGGGAATTTGCATGACCCTGCCCACTGCCTCTACCTTAAACCCACCCACCCATCCATCCATCCATCCATCCATCCATCCATCCATACATCTACTGAGACATCTGTCTGTCTGTCTGTCTGTCTTTCTGTCCATCCACCCATCCATCCATCCATCCATTCACCCATCCATCTACTGAGACATCTATCTATCTGTTCATCCATCCATCCGTCCATCCATCCATCCACCCATCCACCCATCCACCCATCTATCCATCAATCTACTGAGACATCTATCTGTCTGTCTGTTCATCCATCCATCCATCTACTGAAACATCTATCTGTTTGCCCATCCATCCATCTCCTGAGATATCTGTCTGTCTTTCTGTCCATCCATCCATCCATCTACTGAGACATCTATATATCTGTTCATCCGTCCATCCATCTACTGAGACATCTCTCTCTCTCTCTCTATCCCTTCATCCATCCATTTACTGAGACATCTATCTGTTCATTCATCCACCCATCTATCCATCCATCAATCTACTGAGACTTCTATCTATCTATCTGTCTGTCCGTCCATCCGTCCACCCATCCATCTCCTGAGACATCTATCTATCTGTTTCATCCATCCTTCCATCTATCCATCCATCTACTGAGACATCTATCTGTCTGTCTGTTCATCCATCCATCCATCTACTGAAACATCTATCTGTTTGCCCATCCATCCATCTCCTGAGATATCTGTCTGTCTTTCTGTCCATCCATCCATCCATCTACTGAGACATCTATATATCTGTTCATCCGTCCATCCATCTACTGAGACATCTCTCTCTCTCTCTCTATCCCTTCATCCATCCATTTACTGAGACATCTATCTGTTCATTCATCCACCCATCTATCCATCCATCAATCTACTGAGACTTCTATCTATCTATCTGTCTGTCCGTCCATCCGTCCACCCATCCATCTCCTGAGACATCTATCTATCTGTTTCATCCATCCTTCCATCTATCCATCCATTTACTGAGACATCTATCTGTCTGTCTGTTCATCCATCCATCCATCTCCTGAGACATCTATCTATCTGTTCATCCATCCATCCATCTACTGAGACATCTATCTATCTGTCTGTCTGTTCATCCATCCATCCATCTACTGAAACATCTATCTGTTTGCCCATCCATCCATCCTCTTAGACATCTGTCTGTCTTTCCGTCCATCCATCCTTCCATCTATCCATCCATCTACTGAGACATCTATCTGTCTGTCTGTTCATCCATCCATCCATCTACTGAAACATCTATCTGTTTGCCCATCCACCCATCCATCTCCTGTGACATCTATCTATCTGTTCGTCCTTCCATCTACCCGTCCATCTACTGAGACATCTATCTGCTTGCCCATCCATCCATCAACTGAGACATCTGTCTGTCCGTCCATCCGTCCATCCATCCATCCATCCATCCATCCACTGAGACATCTATCTATCTGTTCATTGGTCCATCCATCCATCCATCCATCCATCCATCCATCCATCGAGCGATCATGTCTGCCTGTCCGTCCATCCATCCCTTGTCCGTCCATTCATCCATCTACTGAGACATCTATCTATCTGTTCATCCATCCATCCATTCATCCATACATACATCTACTTTGACATCTATCTGTCCCTCTGTCCATGCCATCCGTCCATCCATCCATCACTTATAAAAATGAAAATATGTATGTGTGTATGTGGCTACTCGGAGCATCCACTTACACAGACAGCTCCTGCCTCCACAAAAGAGATAGCTCCCACTACGCAGGAGACACCAATGGCCCTTCTTTCAATGACATTTCAGGTTATAGTGAGCACCATGAACATGTCCAAGAGCCCTGCCAATGTCCACCACAAACACCACACTGTTCACCACCTAAGTGAAGGCTTTCATACAGGGACAATTTCCTCCTAGATTTTATGTGTTTACTCCACCACAGACATCCCAGTGTTTCTGACTCTCTCAATTGGTGGGGAATTTGTGTAACCTTGCCCACTGCCTCTCCCTAGATTTTATATATTTCCTCCATCACAGACATCCCAGTGTTTCTGACTCTCAATTGGTGGGGAATTTGCATGACCCCGCCCACTGCCTCTCCCTAGATTTTATGTGTCTCCTCCACCACAGACATCCCAGTGTTTCTGACTCTCTCAATTGGTAGGGAATTTGCATGACCTTGCCCACTGCCTCTCCCTAGATTTTATGTGTCTCCTCCACCACAGACATCTCAGTGTTTCTGACTCTCTCAATTGGTAGGAAATTTGCATGACCTCGCCCACTGCCTCTCCCTAGATTGTATGTGTTTCCTCCATCACAGGCATCCCAGTGTTTCTTACTCTCTCAATTGGTGGGCAATTTGCATGACCCCACCCACTGTCTCTCTCTAGATTGTATGTGTTTCCTCCACCACAGACACCCCAGTGTTTCTGACTCCCTCAATTGGTGTGGAATATGTCCACTGCCTCTCCTTTTCCTATTCTTTTCTATGGCACACAGGAAACAAAGGAATTGACCAGGAACTGAACATACTAGAGAGGTTTAGGAAGAATTCACCATGATGTATAGGAGTTGTAGGTCCTGGGATGTACTTGTTTGTGGAAGTGAGCACCCCAGCTACATAAACACAAACATATTTTCACTTTTATTATATATATAATTGAAGGAAAAGAGCCAATGGTGTACTGGCTGGGTTGGGGGAACCTATTTGGCAGGGATGGGTGGGGTGCTGTCCCTACCTGGAAGCCAAGCTGCCTTCTTCTTAACGTTTTTAGGAACCAAATCCCTGAGATTCACCTGCATCTACAGATGGAGGTCCAACAAAGTGCAGATCATCTCCTTGCATTCCCGGCTTCCCCTTCTTTTTTCTTTTGTTGCTACTCGCCGTTCCGACACCCTTCACATTTAACTTGGAGGTGGAATGGGACTTTTTTGACACACTGATGAGAGAGTCCTGAGCGAGCCCAGAGGGTCTCACTTGGGCATCAGCTTCCTGGCTGTCGGATGTGACATGTGACTCTGTGGGATCCTCCTGGAACGCTTCAATGGGGATCTGTTTCCCCTCCGGTAAAGCATCACTCCACCCCACACTTGGCCCAGAACTTTCCATAGACTTGCTCGGGCCTTGGTTGACTTCCGTAGCCTGTCCTCTTTTGGTCACACTTCTCTTTGTGACTCCTGACCTCCGTGGGGAGAAACCCTGGAGGTCCAGGGCCTCCATTTGCTTGCTGTCACTGAGTTCAGAACTGCTGATCGAGTCCACAATAGACTCCACCTGGAGGGACACCTCTTGTTTCCCTGGTTGTGACTGGAGAAGGTCACCTTCAGCACCCACATCCTCTTCATCCTGTTCATCCTGGTCATTTTTAGGGTGGAAGATGGATCTCCATCCAGGACGTTGTCTTGAGGAGGCCCACTTGTGCTCTGGACAATGACTGTGGGGAGACAAAAGTGAGCAAGAGGTTAGTTCAAGCGCTATCAGCCTTGACTTCTTATTCTCCCTGAAGGTGGAGAACAGCCTCTTCTTCTGAAGGCCCCTGGTCAAAATGGTCCCTGGTCAAAGGACCTCCTGAGAGGTGAATCACAGGAATTCTCTCCCTGGTCACTTCCTGGTCAAGTGGTCCCTGATCAATGTGGTCCTGGTCAAAGTGGTGTCTGGTCCCTGAGAGGTGAATCTCAGGAATTCTCTCACTGGTCACTCCCTGGTCAAGTGGTCCCTGGTCAAAGTGGTCCTGGTCAAAGTGGTCCCAGGTCAAAGGACCTCCTGAGAGGTGAATCACAGGAATTCTCTCCCTGGTCACTTCCTGGTCAAGTGGTCCCTGGTCAATGTGGTCCTGATCAAAATGGACCCTGGTCAATGTGGCCCTGGTCAAAGTGGTGTCTGGTCCCTGAGAGGTGAATCTCAGGAATTCTCTCCCTGGTCACTCCCTGGACAAGTGGTCCCTGGTCAATGTGGTCCTGATCAAAATGGACCCTGGTCAATGTGGCCCTGGTCAAAGTGGTGTCTGGTCCCTGAGAGGTGAATCTCAGGAATTCTCTCCCTGGTCACTCCCTGGTCAAGTGGTCCCTGGTCAAAGTGGTCCCAGGTCAAAGGACTTCCTGAGAGGTGAATCACAGGAATTCTCTCCCTGGTCACTTCCTGGTCAAGTGGTCCCTGATCAATGTGGTCCTGATCAAAATGGTCCCTGGTCAAAGTGGCCCTGGTCAAAGTGGTGTCTGGTCCCTGAGAGGTGAATCTCAGGAATTCTCTCCCTGGTCACTCCCTGGTCAAGTGGTCCCTGGTCAAAGTGGTCCTGGTCAAAGTAGTCCCTGGTCAGGTTAAGTGCACCCTGGTCAAGTGGTCCCTGGTCAAAGTGGTCCTGGCTGAAGTGGTCCTGGTCAAAATGGTCCCTGGTCAAAGTGGTCCTTGGAGTCTCCTATTGTTACCTGCCCGACACAGCGCTAGACACCTAGAATACTAACAACACAGTTAAAGAATTAAGGCAAGGCAATGCCCCAGGGCTAGAGAGGCCCAGATGGAAGTGCCTGGATGCAGAAGAGCGTGAAAATCACAGAGGGAAGGAGCGTGGACGCTTCCGCTTCTGGTCCTGCCTCTTTCCCCCCTTTCCTCCCTCATCTTCCTCCTCCTCCTGCCTTTTTCACTTATTGGGAATAGGGAGAGAGTTGGGGAGCGCTCCTTTAATTGAAGGGAAAATGCTGGCGGAAAAGGGGGGGCATCGGATTAGCACCAGATAAGCAAAGGTCGGACAAACGAGATGCTACTGTAATTCGAGCTGCATTATTATGCCGTGTAGGTCCATCCTGTGGAACACACTGTCCTCCTTCCTCCAAAGCTCATATTGTAAACCTTTAATATTATTTTCTGATATTTTCAATCCACTCTTTTTTAATAAAAATCTAGAGGTGATTAAAAATGCATGATTAATCAGCCATAATTGGCAAATATCGTTTTATGTCCCTTGTCATTTCCTTTATTTGGATCTACATTAGCGTGTAATACAGTTTGAACAGCATGATATGGTCAATGTAGACCTTATAACACAATTCAATGCAGGTCAAACTGCATTATATGGGTCTACACAAGTGGTTCCCAACCTTTTTTTCCCCCAGAGACCACTTTGACCAGGGACAACTTGACCATGGACCATTTTGACTAGGGACCACTTTGACAATGGACCACTTTGACCAGGGACAACTTGATCATGGACCAGTTTGACCAGGGATCACTTTGACCAGGGACCATTTGACCAGGGACCACTTTGACCAGGGACCATTTGACCAGGGACCACTTGACCAGGGACCACTTTGACCAGGGATCACTTTGACCAGGGACCACTTGACCAGGGACCACTTGACCAGGGACCACTTTGACCAGGGACCACTTGACCACACTCTGACCAGGGACCACTTTGACCAGGGACCACTTTGACCAGGGACCACTTTGACCAGGGACCACTTGACCAGGGATCACTTGACCAGGGACCACTTGACCAGGGACCACTTTGACCAGGGACCACTTTGACCAGGGACCACTTTGACCAGGGGCTTTTCTCCACCTTCAGGAACAATAATTTGGGGTGACCTCCAAGCACACTGCCTTGAAAATCCCAAGATGGTGCCTCCAATAAAGTAAAGGGTGGGAGAGGAAACACGGAAGGGAAAGCAAAGGAACGGAAAGTCTAACCTTGCCATGGCACGCCCTAAGTGCTTTAGAAAGGCATTATTAGGCTTGGCCTCCAGACGGGCCATGCTTTGAGCCTCCGCTGCTCCTCCAGAGAGTCTCAATGAGTTTGGCTTTGCATTCCTTTGACGACACTGGCGTCTCAAGCGACCCTGAGCATCAAGTCTCCGAAGGAAGCTTTTCCCTGGCAAGACCCAGGGAGAAACCCTCAGCGTGATCAACAAGGGACAATCTCCTAGCAACGGCTGCCTAGGAACGGTTGCCAGAGTTGTGAAGGATTTCCTGCTTTGCATGAGCAGACCTGGTTTCTATGGAGGGATGCACACCCACAGAGGCATCTATGGCATCAAACAGGGAGGGCATTGGGTGCTCCTGCTACCTGTGAGCTTTGGCCAGGATGGTAAGAAGAAGGGTGCTATGGTGATTTCCCCCAATGCCTTAAGTCAATGGTAGTTGGAGTTGCCAGAGTGAAGACTATGGTAGGCTCATGTACTTTTCGGGATGTGTAGAAGAGGAAGCTGAAGCTGACATTACACCTCTATCTCAGTGTTTCTCAACTTGGGGGTCGCGACCACTGGGGGGTCGTGAGGAGATTTCGGAAGGGTCACCAAAGATCATCAGAAAACAGATGGTTCTGATGGTCTGAGGAACCCCTTTGTTAGAGAAGGCTGAAGATCCCACCACCTGTCCTCCTCTTCCTTTTTGGAAACAGACGGCAAATCCTCCCACCAAAAGCCCTCCTCTGTGATTGGCTGGCCTCTCAGCCAAGGGGAGGGCTGTTTCTGAGACTCCTAGCCAGGAGGGGAGAGCAGGCGTGCTCGGTGCATGGGAGCGTGGTGTCAAATTTGGTCCAGATCCATAGTCATTTGGGTTCACAGTGCCCTCCTCCACTGTGATTGGTCGACCTCTCAGCCAGCCTCTCAGCCAAGGGGAGGGCTTTTTTTGAGACTCCAAGCAGGGAGGGGAGAGCTTCTGGCATTGGCTGATCATTTATAGGGGTCACCACAACATGAGGAACTGTATTAAGGGATGGTGGCATTAGGAAGGTTGGGAAACACAGATCTAGAGCTTCGGGGAGCTTCTGTTCAACCATTTCAAAGTTCCCTGCTTGAGCGGTGATGGCATGATCGTCAGCATAGATGAAACTCTTTGCCGCTTCTGACAATGGCTGATCAATTGTAGGGGTCACTACAACATGAGGAACTGTATCAAGAGGTCGTGGCATTAGGAAGGTTGGGAAACACTGGCTTAGGTGGACAGTAAGCAGTGGGTGCTAAATCCGACTCGGGCTTCGAACTTGCTGCCTTCCTCCCCCTTTCCTCCCTCTTTCTCCTCCTTCTCTTCCTTCCTTTCTTCCTTCCTTTTTTTTTCCTTTTCTCCTTCTTCCTCATCCCTCTTCTCCTTTTTTCTTTCATTATTTTCCTCCTTCTCCCTTCACCACCTTCCCCTTCCCTCTCTCTTTCCTTTATACTTCCCTTCCTTCCTTCTACCCTTCCTTCTCTTTTTCCTTCCTCCTTCCCTTTGTTCCTTCCACCCTTCCCTTCCACCCTTCCTTCCTTACCATTGTCTTTCTTTTCTTCTTTCCCTCTTTCCTCCCTCTCTCCCTCTTTCTTTGTCCATCATTACTTCCTTCCCTCCATCCTTTCTTTTCCTTCCTTCCTTCCTTCTCTCTTCCCTTCTCCTTCCCTCTTCCTTCCTTTGCTCACCGGGCAGCAGGTACTCCTAGCAGGGTGTGCCAGTTTGCAGCCCCCAAGTTGGCTTAGGTGGACAGTAAGCTAGGCTTAAGAGTCTGGTGCTCAATCTGACTTGGGCTTTGAACCTGCCACCTTCCAGACAGCAGTGATCTATTGCTCCTGGCAATTAACCAGCTGTGCTACAGTCTGGCCCAACTACAACTAAAACGACAACTAAAACTATCATAATTCGACAACACTGACCATGACAGTTGAAGTGGCATCAGAGTGCATTCATTCTAGTGTAGATGTATTAAGGGGTCATAGCATTACGGAGGTTGAAAAACACTGCCCTAAGATCCACAGAAAGCCCAAATATTTCTATTTTCCAAGGGTTGGTCTTTCTTATAACAAGCCCCACGAAATCTCCGTTGGCGTTCTGTTGGCATAATTCTCTTCCCATGCACTGCGTTTTTGGAAATGGCTGACACCCGCCATTGTTTACCGTGGCGCGGCGTCTCTCGGCCCCGGCCTTCATCCACAGATTGAAAATCAAAGGTGTCATTACAATTTCAAAGGCTCTGCCTGAGCTGCAGGTTCAGCCGCAGCCGCTCACAAGAGAGGCAGCAAATTATGATCTCAAAATGCAGTCAGAGCTCAGCCATTCAGGGGTAAGGAACGTAATGGATTTCCTGACCAAAAGCAAAAATTGCATCATTATTATTATTATTACTAGCTTTATTTACAGTCTGTGGTTCCCCAGAAACGGGGCTGGAGGTGGCTTGCAGATTGAAACAACACCTTTATATGACTCAAGCATAAAAGGGCAACACTAACATGGAATCAAGAGATTCGTAACATTGGAAATCACTGCTGCTGTGATTGGCAGACCTCTCAGCCAAGGGGAGGGCTGTTTCTGAGACTCCATGTGAGGAGGGGAGAGCAGGCGTGCTGGGTGCATGGGAGCATAGTGTCAAATTTGGTCCAAATCCATAGTTGTTTGGGTTCGCAGTGCCCTCCTCCGCTGTGATTGGTCAACCTCTCAGTCAGCCTCTCAGCCAAGGGGAGGGCTATTTCTGAGACTCCAAGCCAGGAGGGGGGTGCAGGCATGCTCAGTGCATGGGAGCATGGTGCCACATTTGGTCGAGATCCAAATTCGTTTGGATTCACAGTGCCCTCCTCCACTGTGATTGGCTGGCCTCTCAGACTGTTTCTGAGACTCCAAGCAAGGAGGGGAGAGCAGGCGTGATCGGGCATGGCAGCATGGTGCACATGTGCAGGTAAAGGGAGTGTGTGTGAGGCTTGAGGGAGGCCCATACCAGTGTGTCACTTCAAGACATAGCCCTCCTCCGCTGTGATTGGCTAGCCTCTCAGCCAAGAGGAGGGCTGTTCCTGAGACTCCAAGCAGGGAGAGGAGAGCAGGTGGCTCGGCACATGGCAAAGTGTGTGTGGGGCGAGGGAGAGTATGTGAGGCTTGAGGGAGGCATGTGCCAGTGTTTCCCTTCAAGGCATAGCCCTCCTCTGCTCCAAGTGGGGAGGGGAGAGCAGATGTGCTCGGCACATGGCAGAGTAGTGCACATGTGCGGGGTGAGGGACAGCATGCAAGGCTTGAGGGAGGCACGTGCCAGCATGTCCCTTCAAGGCATAGTCCTCCTCTGCTGTGATTGGCTGGCCTCTCAGCCAAGGGGAAGGCTGTTTCTGAGACTCCAAGTGGGGAGTGGAGAGCAGGCGTGCTCGGCACACGGCAGAGTGGTGCGCATGTGCGGGGCGAGGAAGAGCATGCGAGGCTTGAGAGAGGCACATGCCAGAGTGTCACTTCAAGACATAGCCCTCCTCCGCTGTGATTGGCCGGCCTCTCAGCCAAGGGGAGGGCTGTTTCTGAGACTCCAAGCAAGGAGGGGAGAGCAGGCATGCTTGGCGCATAACAGAGTGGTGCGCATTTGCAGGCAAGGGAGAGCATGTGAAGCTGGAGGGAGGCTTACGCCAGCGAGTCCCTTCACAACATGGTGAAGCAGGAAAATCTCATTCAAAGCACCTCCGACAGACGGCAAGCGAGAAATTTGTTGGAATTTCTACTCTTGGCTGAGCTTGTTTTCCAGCAAATATCGGGATAGTTGAAATCACCCATGACTACTGTATCTCTTCTTTGTGTGTGTTTGGTCAGCTGTTGACAGAAAGCTTCATCAAGTTCTTCATCTTGGCTTGGAGGTCTGTAGTAGATGGGCATCTAAGATGAGATCTTTTTGAATTTCAAGATGCTTTTTAGATGGGCCCCCAAACTGCATTCTTGCATCTCTTCTGTGGCGTAACTGTTTTTGACATATGAGGCTACTCCACCTCCTTTCCTCTTTGTTCTGTTTCTGTGAAAGAGGTTATAGCCCTTGATGGCTACATTCCAGCGATAGGAGTCATCCCACCAGGTTTCTGTGATGTCTATGACATCATAAGTGTGGTGTTGTGCTAAAAGTTGGAGTCTGTCTTGTTTTGTTTATTTCCCATGAGGGCCACTTCACCTAGCAACAGCTCATTCATTAGGCAGAGAGAGTTTTCCTTCTCTCTCTCTCTCTCTCTCTCTCTCAAATTCTCTATTGTTTAGCTTAATAGGAAGACCTCATTTTGGGTTCCCCCTCTCCACTTCCCGACTGCAATGAATCATGTTATACATCTCTGTCAAGTTCCTGTTCCCACGCTCATTATTTATTTGTTGTCACCCTGTAAAAGGAAGATCTGCGGGAGCGGCAAACAATTTGAAACAAATTCCGAGCAGGAAAAAAAAAGGACCCCAAAAAATCCAATAAAACCCTAGATCAGATAGGAAGCTATAAAGCCCAGCCACAAATAATAGAAGAGAAATTAAAACAGCTCAGCCGTAATCATAAAATCGACACAAGGAGAGCCGCACAATCCTCTTCAGAGGGACTAAAGTGAATCGCAGAGACATTAAAACGCTCAGCCTGTGAACCAATTTGCAAACAGATTTCGAAAGAACTGGGAAGATTAAAACAAATCAAAGATTTGGCCAGGTGCCAGTAAGGCAACAAAGTTGGTGCCATCAAACAAGTGTGAGTTTACAATGGACAAAGGGGGGGGGGGGACATGTACAGTGGACAGGGTGGATATGGTCAATCTCCTACCCAAGAAATGCCCCTCGCAAGAGGTTCTAGGGCTTCCTTGAAAAACTATAAGGATCCTCGGTTGTTAGACTTTATGTCGTCGGTTCTTAAAATGTCTTGCATAATGAGATCACCGAGGCCATTCCTTATGAGCTTGTACTTGTAACATCACCGAGACTGTGAAGGTCAAAAACAGACTTTCCAGCTTTCAGAGTCTAATCCTGAGAAGAAATCTCAGGGTGAGAGCACTTCCTTCCTTCCATCATTACGTAAATCTGAGAGGCAACACATAAAACGTAGGGATAACCCCTTGCGATGACACAAAGGGATGG